TGTTTGCTTATTTAAAATATCTACTTTCATATTCAGATGAATACAATGCACCCAATATAGGCAGTCAATATGAACTCATACACACATACATACATACATATACAAGTATAGTAGATACATAGACATTTAACTTGCCGAAGTAATTGTGTTGCTAAAGTGATGCATTATTGACAGTTTATTAAATTGATTCTATTTAGAATTTAACAAACATGTCATGCTGCATCATCATCATCACCATGATAATCATTATCGAGTCACACGCAAACACACATGGCCGTGACAAAATCCGTTTTGCTCCCATCCAACCCCTACTTCATCTTGCAACCTCATGCCAGCACACGCGCCGGGTACTACGCTGGTTGGCATTATTCCCAGGATGCCTCAACTTTTGCTTCAGACGCCCGCAGGCAGTGTGTACATCAGGCGTGTTGACTTTTTATTGCGTGTCGCTTTTAACTGAGCATGTGTGTGGGTGTGTGTGTGTGCGTATATATGTGTGTCTCAGTCTTAAGTGCTCATAAAATATTTGTAAATGTTTGTGCAAAAAACTTGCATTTTCACACAACGACAATGACAATGATAACAAAGGATTTATAAGACATTCTCCCCTGACTGTCAATTTTTTTGGCTTCTAACGCTGTCAATTAGAGTCTGTAAATTGTTAAATGCTTTTAGCTTATTTATCAAACTCAAAGCTATACTAATAAATTCAATTTGGGCTTAACAAGCTTTCGGTTCGAATAAGTTTCACTGAACATCATGAAATAAAGTGCTACGTGATTTAAGTGTATTAACTACGAAGTTAAATAGCTCCCCCCTGTCTTAGGATGATAGAATTATAATATATTGAAATATATTACAAACTTATATTGATTTCTTTTTCAAATTGTTGTTTTGCTGTTTCCTTTCATTGACATTTTAAAAATGTTAAAAAGTAAATTGACATTTTAAAAGCAAACATTTACAATCACTACGCTATTTTTATTCATTTATTTATTTACATACAAGTATATTAGCATTAATAACAAAGAAAAATGTAAAACGAATCGGGACAATAATATATAGCAACGCCTCCGATTTGTCATCCGGCAAGCTTTGCAACGTGTATTCATAGCCAGACTTTTTACATAGAGCAGTTTGTTACTGTAGGAATAGTTAATTTTTTTTGAACCAACGTTTGATAACGACAGTTGAAATATGAAGATTTAAGCTGAGATTTAATTTAAAAGGAACTCCTTATCCTCCAACTGTCAATATACGTACATTGCAATCTCTGGATGAGGTAGTGTTTAGATTGCGCATCCTTTTACTGTAATTGCCTTAATATACGAGTGTATGTAGACTACCATTATTTTTTCTGGGGGCTATAAACTTGAATACCACACAATAAACTTAAACTTATCAGTAATATAATTAAGAAATAACAACGAATTTTAGAAGCCAAGAGAATGCAGTTGCAACAGAAAAGTGTAATTGGCAATTTATAATGAGTGCATGTTATCTTTGTGGCATACAAGAGCACTACGAACATGAAGCAACTTTAGTTATCGTGAATGTTAATGTAGATTTCTTGTGGAACTACGAATTTATTTCTTTGGGAAGGTGCAAGAAAAAAAAACAACTAGATAAGCTACGCCAATTTCGCGTTGAAGGGCCTGCGATGAATTATTTGCGAGGGGAAGTGTGTATTATACGAAATGAAGTATACTTTCAGGTACAACACTCATTGATGACGTGCATGGCGAAAACGCAACGTTCACACACCCACCCACACATACATATATGCATAATCACCCTGTAGCTCGGATGGTGGTCGGTTTACGGTCTACGCCAGCACAGCATAAAACTAGGACGAGTAGCTGGCACTGCAAGCGTAAATGGAAGTAAGCTACCGAACCAATAATGAAGAAAAACGCTTTTGAGTTGGGGAAGTTCTTCCATATCTCTCTCTTTCTCCTTCGCACCCAAAAACTACAACTCATGAAGAAAATTAGTGAATAATAATGTTTGAGCCAGATATGTGAATGAAATACAAAATGTACATTGCACAATCCTAATGCACCCGTTTCACCCTACGGATACAGGGCATACAAATTGACTTCAACATAAAAAATATTTTTAATCAAATCACAAATATTTTAAGTTTTTTACTTCTATAAAATGGCTAAGAGGGGCCTGGCATAGCTGAACCAGCCAGCAAGAATCCCATTGTGAGTTCGTATCTGAGTGTACACACCGATTTGAACCTCGACACAAGTACTAATTGCTTGAAGATCGATACTGAAAATTCACATTAAAATAAAATAATATCCGTCTCATAAAAAGGCGACACAATCGGTGATGGCGATTTCCTTGTAACAAACGTACCCAAAAGTGCCAAGTAACAAAAAAAAAAAAATAAAAAAAATAAATAAATAAAAAGAAATGGCTGCACCAATGCAATTCAGGAGCCTAGGGAAACTATGGCTGACCTAACGGTACATTGCTTGTCTAGGATCTATCGGAGCCTTTAAAGCCGAAAACGACGGAAAACGCACCTCCACTTTAACTTATCCAACCATATAAAACATATCAGGTGCAGGTACAGCTGACTGGTCTCTGACACCAATGCACCTGAAAATTCTTTGGTGTGTGGGCTGGTTCCCCGAACTACATGGTTCAGGGCATATTCTTATACATTCGCACACAGATATGTTTGCATAAGCGGAGGCGTGTGTAACGTACGAAATTGTTATTTATTTTTTGGACTGGTCGTACACTCTTTCACTCCCTCTCTTTCTCTCTCTCTCTCTCTCTCTCTCTCTGTTGCCTGCACACGTGCATGCAGTGTGTTGATGAGTTGGTGTATGTGTGTGTGTATAGTATGTGTGTGCGCTGTGTTATGTACACAGCTGTATCGCTTGCAATGGAAGGCCAACACGTGCGTGTAGACACACACACTCGCTTTTGCCTTGGCATGCACGTGCTCGTTGTAGCCCCATTCGGCGCATTTACCAAATTTACCGTGTAATTATCAGTAGGTAGGAGAATGATATAAATAGCAACAAATGCAACAAGAATTGCACAAATAAGAGGTTTTGGCGTTTTCTTTGCAAATATTGAATATACTTACATATATCTGCTGCACGTATGTGTACGACTGTATGTATGCCTATGTTTTGCATCTATTTTCCATGCTTTGCTTGCTAGACTGCTTTATTTGTTTGACTTGCCAACAGGCAGGCGGCTGGCTCTCTACACATTAATCGACATTTCATTTTGAATTTTCATTTCAATTTCCCACATCACGATTGCATGCACATATGCATATAAGAAGAATTTTCGGTTGACTTTTCACCAGCAGTCCATAATAATGCAAATCGTTCTCTGCATTGTCCATATTGTGGGCAACCTTTCGAACACATACGAATACATATAAATATAAACTCACAGATACGAGTACGTATGTGATATTGAATAATAGCCAATGCTCTGGTAGCGCAATTTAAATGGGTAATCCCACTATTTGAACTAATCCGCTTACACTGTGAAGCAAAATGCATGGAAAGACACTAAGCGCCTTTCAAATGCCATTTAGTTTTGTTACGTAAAAGGGTTATGCAGTATAGCACATAAAATTAGTATGTACAAAGATAAATAAGTTACATAAATAGTTAATCGCTTTACGAGTACCAGGCCTTGCTTCAATATATGACGCATTAAAAGGGGATTAATTAAAATTAGCTTAAAAACGCATTTTTTTTATAGTTCACCAGTTCACTTAATAGGACCTATTGGTTTTAAATATAATTTTTTAATTTAACTTCAAACATCATTGACATTTTGTTATTCTAATAATCTTTCATTGGCATGAATCCAATCGTATATTTCTAGTAAATATTTCATGCCATCTACTCGTATGTGCTCGCATTTATAGCCTTTTCGAAATAGCTTTTCACATTTTTCAAAGTAAAAACTATAATAAACAAGAGAGAACGCTACAGTCGAGCAAGCCCGACAGTGTAATACCCTGTACCCAGGTAAACTTCCGTCACTGAGTTATATGCGCCCATAGCAGCAGCAAAAAGAGGAAGAAGAAGAGCGAACTTGTTGCTGCAGTTTGTGGGGGTTGTACTGGTGAGAATTTGTTTCGCTAATAACTTTTCTTAGAATTGACCGAATTTGATAAAATTTTAAACAACAGTAGATAATTGTATAGAAATTATGTGTGCAAAGTTTGGTTTAGGTAGCATTTGAAATGTGGACGCTATTGACGAAATTCTGTAGCGGGGGAAGGGGGGGAAAATTAAAAAAAAAAAAAATAAACTCGTCCTTACTCGGACCTAGGAGAATCTGGATGCCAACTTTGGTTATTCTAGCTTTTATAGTTTCTGAGATGCTTGCGTTCATCCAGACGGACGGACAGACGGACAGACGGACGGACATGTCTAGATCGATTTCTCTCGTCATGCTGATCAAGAATATATATACTTTATGGGGTCGGAGATGCTTCCTTCTGTATGTTACATACTTTGCACAAACCTAATATACCCTTTTTACCCTACGGGTACAGGGTATAAAAACTATAGCATACAAATGTGTGGGTATGGACTAGATGAACAAAAGCAGCACAGTAGACTTTTTACTTTTCCTTTTCATTTATGAGTGAAGTGATTTCCGCAGTAGTTCTTGGGATGTACTTCTCCTGGCAGCGCGTTCAATGGAGGGCACTTTCCGCAAGCAATACTTGAACTGTATAGAAAAGGCGCATAACAATAAAATATGCAACCTTTTGTTTGCACACTCCTTCGTACATTTGTTGTGGTTCCGCCACTATGGTGTTGCATTGTTCGGCTTGAATGTACAATGTAATCCGCATACATTTTGAGACAATTGGTGCAAGACATGTCGATAAACTCGGGCATTGTCTGGCCATTGAGGCAATGTACAATTTATAGTACGAAACGGGATATCCGTTTACTTACAAATTGGTGAAAAATTAAGTTTAATCGATATAAGGATTAAGTTTATTAGTCTTTCATTTATTGAAATTGCGAAATCGTTTGCTAAAAATATCTGATTTTTTTTTTTACTTTTTCTTCTATATTTTCATTATACTTCCAGTTTTCCAAAACAATTGCTTAGTATTTATGTTTTTCTGTGATTTCTTTAAATTGGTACTACCAGTAGTATACACATTCGACTTAAAGTTGGAATATATGAGTCGGATGATAGCTGGGAATAAGGAAATACTATATAAAAAGTCATGGTCATATTTTAAAAAGCATTTGGGCTTACATATCCTCGCGAGCAAAGCGCAAGGTCTCGATTAGACGGGTTAGGGGTGCATCGCCAACGCAAATTTTATATATAGTTGTGAACAAGGGAAATCTGTAGAAGAGGCACAACATTCAATGTTATTGCTAAGCAATTTGGCCATATATATATCAACTACTCACTTTTCCTCAAGACCCTTGTTTGACAGCATAATGTTGACCATTTCGGCCGTAACTGGCCCTAGTGGCTCATGGCCAGGTATGAGAATATGCTCCAATTCACTTAAAGGTTGTCCTGTCTTGACAAATGCCTCGGCTAGCTTGCGATTACGATTGGCTGAAATAAATAATTTGTTAGGGTTTCAACTCACTCAACTGTTGTGACTCAACCATAGCAAGAAGTCACCAGATCGGAAAGGCCGCAAGCCTCAAAAAATGTGGCCATGCGACTGCCAGGGTAGAAAACGTCCACAAACTGTATGATCTCCAGGAAGCCCCGTCGAATAAGGCCAGCTTTTGTGTTTTCATTCAATTCCATACCATCCGCACAGCCGGCACCAAAGGCAATTATGTTCTGCACGAGCGGTGTTAGGCACAAAAATAAAATTATAACAATTTGAGATCCTCACCCGTAGTGCAGCGCAAATCTCGACACAGTCGGCATCGTCTGTGACTACTACACGAAAGGTGTCCGATTTAAAAATGTCGGGCAGTACGCGAAAGAACTTCTGATCCCTACAACCAATAGTGCCTTCACAGTAGTTATCGTTGGAGATCTCATGCGCTAAATTACAGCCAACGAGTACGGAGCAGGGTATCTTCAACTGGCGCATAATAATACCGGAAATGAGGATAATGTGACCGTCGTCACCACGTTCAAACCCCTTGATGAGTGAGACAGCATGTGCCGTTGGCTTGACCTTTCCGAGTAAAGTTCTGCAGCAGCTGCTTACAAAGGTCGGCGGTATGGCAAAGATGAGAATATCGGCATCGCGAGCAGCCTCCACCACATCATCCACAGCAATCTCGAAGATACACATATAAGTTGTTAATGCTAAAGCTTTAGCGGCAGCAAATTATCTTATGACCGTACTTACTATATTCGGTGGTAAAACGTAATCGGGCATATACTTGACATTTATGTGAGTTGTGTTGATAATGTCCGTCAATTTTCGCCCATCAATATATTCCTCGTACACATACATATTTACGAGGGGCTCCAGCATCTGGTGACGGGCAGCATTATTTCCCACGTTGCGCGCTATTGTCGTGGCCCTGCAAATATACACATAAATGAATCAGTTATTACCCTCGCTAAAGAGAATACGAGAACTACCAGTTTCCAGAGCCAATAATACAAACGAAATGCTTATCCCCCATTCTTAGTACCGAAAATATTGAAAATGTTTTTGTTGAATGTTATTTATTGTTCTGTGAATATTAGTTGATTGTATTTCAAGTATAACAGTAGATGAAATATGTTCACCAGCCAACTTAATATTAAATTTTTTTATTGTGATTTATTTATTCCTTTTGACCCATCACTATTGAGCAAACTAGTCTGCCAGAATTTAAACCACCATGATGAGATTTTGAGCATAAATTTCTCGTTCTTGCCAAGATTTTGATGTGTAAGCCCTAATTATGAAGCTAAGAGTCGGCTTAGACTGCCATAACATATAACTATCAAAAATGTTTTTAAGTTATTTTAAGCGATACTTAGCCCATTTATTACTGGACAATTCTTTAAAATAAGTTATGGTGTGGTTTGTAAAAGTCTGAATAGTCTTTTTAAACTAAATATATACATCATATATATAGTACATATACGAGCCATCGGTATTACATGTTAAAGATAAATTTGGTGCTAGATATACATAAGTAAAACTGGAAGTATTATGCCAATAATTCGAAGGTAGCACTAAATTTATCTTTTAAATTTAATATCGATGGTTAATATGTACTTAAGAGTATAATTTTATATTTGTATATTGATGGAATGTTGGCGAAACAAATAATTCATGAGTAAATGCATGCTTGCGCTGTATTTACAAGATAATCAAAATAAAAATTACGTATGCGTCACGTTCGCACCACTGACTGGCAAATAATTAACTGTTGACTGGCTGGCTGCTGGCTGCTGGCTGCTGGCTGCTGGCAAGCCGTCGGGTATCGACCGTGGCACTTTGCTCGTATGGCCTGCCTGCTTTGTTTGTGGCAAATATATGAAGCGTCGTATTTATTTTTTAATTACGTCGAGTTTAAAGTTGGCTGCGCGAGTATTTATGAGGAGCACCGGCAGGAATGCCGGCACTCCCTCCCACTTAATCCAGAAAGTTTCCAGCTAAATAAATAAAATATCAAATTGTAAGTGCTCATAATACGAGCAAAAGCCAAGTGAAAGTTTGACAGCGAAATCAATGTGCAAGAAAGTAAACACTTTTAAAATTTGCGTGCCCCTCCCACTGTCTAGTGAAGGAAGGCGCGAACAGAAAACGTTGCGAGGCCCCGAAACGCCATCGGATCACCCTCTTTCCCGCCCATCCTGCGCCAGGCACTCGACTATGAAATCAAAATGGATGATGGCAAAATGAAAATGGAATTTTTAATGAGTTGGTGCAGGCAGGAAAGGCCGAGCTCAACAGAAAACAATAGCGACCAGCCAGCATCAAGTTTCTGACTGCAGTCAAATAAATGGAGTGGGCTAAGGGTTTGAAGGGCTGAAGGAATGATGCTACGGGAGTCGTTTGCATGCCAAGTGCTTTTAAAAATATAAACGTTATTTGTGCAGCAGTGAAACTAAGCTTATATACTCGTATTTATATTTTTCAACGTTTTTTTCCACTATTTATGCTGCTGGAAGCTTTGTAAACATTGTTCATTTTTTTATAGTTGCTCTCGCACAATAATATTTTGCAATTGGACTGCAAAATGTTTTCACGATATTCAGAAATAAACATTTTTGTTTAAACAAGTTCGTTATTTACAAATTAATTTTTGCGGTAATTTGAAATTGTATGTATAGCAACACATTTTTAATAATAATTTGGAACTTATGCAAACAAATTTAATTGCAAATTAATTTACTCCTCTAATTAAATTCATGAGCTTAAAGTCAGACTTTTTGAAGAAAATGTTTGATATGCTTTGCGATACGAATTTCACTTTTTCACGAGTTTTATTTAATACATTTTAGTTCTGTTTACTAAAAAAAAAAAATTAAATACAACTAAAACATAAATAAAAAGAATTCAAAAAAAGCTAAAAAAATTGTTGAAGTTGATTTAGATTGTTGTTATTCATAGATAATATAGTCCCAGTTGTATTCCAATACAAATTTTAACAAAAGTGCGATCTGCATGTTTGATCTTAGTTCTCGTTGTTCAAAATATTAAATTGCTTTGATAGTACAATAGCTTCTTGTTGCCCTTTCACCCCCGAAAATGTTCCCTGATATTAATATAAGAAAAATTTAAATTAATCAAATCGTTTCGATTATGCCTTTGATTACAATTATGTGGCTATGTAATTTAAGATATTTTCAAACTCTTTAGATATGATATTAACATGCATGGATTTGTGCAAAGTTAATTTTTAAAATACAGTTCCATGGACCGAAATGAAAAGCTTGATGAACAGTCTAGCTGGTAAGAGTTACTCAAGATTGGGACCTGCGTCTGTTGAAATAACATCCATGCAGACTATAACATATTTTGAAAGGTTAAAGCTTCATATTCATATATTTACATTATTTGAGGTCGGGCACATTCACACTCAAACAGACAAATGTATTTGTGCATTATTTTCGAATTTTATTTTTTACCATATGAAGAAGAACTTAATATTGGGTGTCTGCTTCGTATTCTTTTTTCCTCATTTATTGCAGCAAAATTTCGCACAAAGAGCAACATATTGTATTCGTAATGTTTGTACGCATTTTTATGTTTTTACATTTTTCGTTTGCCTTTGCGCGCTGCTGTGACTTTTCCTTCTTCGCCCCCTGTGCTCATGCGTTTTTCCCAGCTTTTGTGTGCCACTGTTTGTATTTTATTACATTTGTGGCTAATAAAACTTTCCACCTACCAATGCGCCTCACACTTTCTCTTCGGCTGCGGTTACTTGCCACAAAGCGCACGCATCAAACTTGCCGACTTACTTGCCACAAAAGCGAACAGGAAGACTGCAGTTGTGTGGGTGAGGCAGAACCGGGGTATGAAGGCAGATATGTTTTGTACTACAAACTTGAATCGTAAATAAAATTATGCCAGTGTTTTGTATGTCGGAACGTGATTTTGTCTGTGCGCTGCCAGCAACGAGAAGTGGAAGCAGAAATCATAACTCAGCTGAGCGATCAATAATATGGCCTAGAAGATGTGTAATTATGTTTACATTCCACTAAAGTTCTCTACAACGGCTGTTCGATGAGAATGAAGTGTGCTCCAGTTGATGCTTGAATGAGCGCCTTCGGCATGGCATCAATCACAATACAGTTTATTAGTGAAGCTGATTTAAGCTTTTGTTATTATTGTATACAACTACGAGTTTATACCGGATATAGGCCCGTTTAGAAAATAGTGTAATTTAATGCATCCATGCCATCCAACATGACATCCTTCTTGTAGTTCAGCCTGTTGGATAATTAATTATTGATTAGCAAAGCCAAGGTTAGGTCCTTTGTATTCCCCCAACTTCTCTTACAAGTGCATTTGTATTGTTTTAAGTTATATGGTGGCTCTTTACCTTATTTTGAAATATTATTTGAAGGAAAAATGTCAATGCAAAAGTTTTAATTTTTTGAACTATACTATAAGCCACAATTAGTTGAGAATTTGATATATCGTAGCTCTTTTGTATTATGATAAGTTCGGAAGAATGTCTTTTATATCCAAAGTGTACAAATATATGGTGTATTATGATTGTGTAAAGCAGAAAAACGCATCTTGTACTCCATAAAATAGATATATTATATTTTAGCATAATGAGACAAGTCCGCCCGTCTGGATGGATTTCGCTTGGATTTAGACTCTCCTAGTGTCTAGACACCACCAGTTTATTTTACTATTCACTTCTTCCAGAACTTGGGTAATACTATCCACAATTCCAAATCTGCATTAACTAAACTTTACAGGCGTAAATTATAAGTATCTCACTGAAATTCAGAATCTCTGTTATTATCGTGATACTGGAGAGATAGCGCTTGCTAGCAGTTGACTGCGTTTGACTCTAGTAAAAACTTGAATGCATCAATTATTGTAAAAACTATTGCTACTCGTATAGTAGCTGCCTTTCCCACAAACAGAAGTTTCTTATTCTATATAAACTTAATGTGCATCCCAGAAGTCATGAGTTTGCCTTCGCCTATCAAACAGCAAACTTTCACGGACTCTACGTTTTATACAAGTTTTGACACTTATTAAGTCTCTTGAACTCTACAATTATCACTCATACGTATGTACATTGAAAATAAGCAACCCGTGTAGTATATAGTATGAGTATATAGCCTGTTGTTCGTTGCTTACCATTTTGTTTCGGTTACCATTAGATATATGTTAGTATGCTCGTAGCTGAAAAGTTTTCCAGTCTACTTTAAATGGCATTAAATTACGCGTAAAGAAAGTTTCGCCAAAGTTTAAGGCTATTCTCGGCGCGACTTTGACTGAAATCAGATACAGATACAAGGCTTCTTTGCCACTAGAGTGAAATTCTCTGCGATTGCGTGAGAAATGCAAAAGGCAAAAAGTTGGTCATGTTTTGTGCGTCGACTAAAACAACTGAGGCAGGCTTAACCTATAGTTGGAATGACACAAGGGGAGCGACGCATCACCATGCTGAATAGAAATGAAATCGAGATAAACTACTTACAATATTTACTTTTAATTGGAGAAGTTCAAAGCATAAACAAATGCCGGCAAAACTTTTTTTGCCTCGCCTTGACTATATCGATTGCAATTATACAGAAATAGACACAGACCTATGCCAATAGACTGCTGTCAGCAGCTTACGAGTATGACTATCTAATTAAAGTGAGCAGAGTTTTAGAAAATGCCTTCTAGATCTGGGTTGCATCTAATTTTAAAGTCAACAGCGTAAAAAACACAAATAAGCCGCGTCTGGTGCAGTTTGTTTATAATTTTATAATTTTCCTTTGCTTCTTGTTTTGGCATATTTGCACCAAATGGTCATTAAAATATGAAGCAGCCGCCTGGCCGGCAATTAGATGTGTTTGCTAGTCTGCCCTCTCTGCGCTTTTTTCCTACTTTTAAGAGCGGACAGCTCAAAGTGCCTATTGGGTCAACTACATTTAAATTACTCTTCAGTTTAGACGCTGCGGTTAAATAACTATGAGTGAAGTGTGAAGGCTCTTCAATGCTCTTGCTTTGAGGTTTTGCGATGAAATAAAAAAGTGATAGGTGGTGAAACGTAACACTTTCGAGTGGTCTCTTATATGAAACCGTTTGTGGGCAGAAATA